CAGGCATGTATTAAATATTCAAAAAGATAAAACAATAAATGTGAGCTAATAATAACAGTAGCATGATTGGCATGGAGACTCTTGGGGATTTTCAGGAAACCCAGTACAAACTCCTCTTGAATCTCCAAACTTGAAAAAACAAAAGTGTCATCTTGCATTAACAAAATTTCTTCAGGCTCCACATCCATAAAACAGGTGAAGACAGCAGCCCCGGCTTCTCAGGGGCTGTAGGATCCCCGCGGGCTGAGTGTGTAGGGAGATGCTGGCAGGGCAGCAGGCACGGTAGGCGCCCCCCACCTGCACCCCCAGCCTTGCCCCAGACCCACACCCAGGCAGGATGAGCAGTCAGCCTCCCTCCTGGACTTCAGGGTCGCTCAAAAACTGCCCCAACCAGGAACACTCAACCTGCAAATGCCCAAGATCCAGGAATAGACAGACATTTGTGGGCAGACACCCACTCACCCACTCCCCAAGGACCAATTAAAAAGTAACAGCAGCAACCACCACCCACAGAGTTCCAGGCATGGTCGGGGTCCCCCATAACCCTGAGCGAATACTGTCATCAGCCTCACTTTACAAGTGAGGACAGTGAGGCACAAGCCCAGGTCACATGGGTGGCCCGCTGTCGAGGCAGGCCCGGCACCCGGGCAGGCTCATCAACAGACGGCAGCAGCCCTGACGGTCCATCTTCTCCCACGGGAAGCCCAGTTCACCCCTGCCGGAGACTGGTGGAAAGTGTTTATTTGAAAGGCTGAGTATGGACAGTCCCAGTGAGCAGCTGCAAAGGATACTTAAGTCAGTACCTCCTCCCAACATTAAGAGAAACAGAAAAAGAAAGAAAAAAAAACCCACTCACAGACCAGCATCACTTAACCCTGGAAACGATTCTCCTTCCTCCCCACTATGAATCTCCCAAAAGAATCCCAGTACAGAACCATGCTAAATCCTCCCAGCAAAAAAAAAAACGAACCTTCTAGAGTCCTCCATTTAAAGAAAGGAATGAAAGGAATGGGGACTTTCCTGGCAGGCCAATGGATAAGACACAGAGCTTCCACCACAGGGGGCACAGGTTCGATCCCTGGTTAGGGAACTAACATCCCTCATGCCTCGTGGCATGGCCAGAAAGCAAAAAATTTTAAACATTAAAAAAATAAAATAAAAATAAAGGTATGCAGGCCCTGAGGGTATGGGCCACCTGAGAGGCCAGGTATTGTTAACAGCAAACTCCCAGCTCCCTCCTCCTGCAGCTTCCCAGAGCCCCGACCTAACCTGGGCAAAAAACTTATTAATAAACAAGGCAGCCACATCCTCAGGTGTAAAGGCCTGGGGTCTGGGCTCAGGGAAGCCCTTCACTTCAAATCCAAGTCCTTCATATGGCCTGAGCCTCAGTTTCCCCATTCTGCCACCCTGGGCTGCTGGGAGGATGACGTGAGATGAGGAAAGAAAGCATTCAGGTCAGGTGACGTGACGGTGAAGATGGACAGAGGACACATTTTACACCAAAAAGCTGTGCGACGTCGTGTGTCTTTCCACCACCGCCTGCAACACAAGTTCAGCCACAGGAAAGAGGAAAACGGTGATGCGAGGCGCTGGAGGGCTGGCACAGAAAACGTGGACACAGTGAACCGGGTCAGCCAGCACGTCCACACGTGCCACCGTGGAGAACGGAGAGCATTTAAAAAAAAATCACCCGACATTTTCAACTAACAGCTTTACTTCTCGGCTTCGCCTCTGAAGTCCCTTCTGCGTGTGAGGAAGCCTTGAGGCTGCTCCAGGGTGAGGGGAAGGGGCAGGCAGGCGGGAGGCCAAGAGGTCACAAGCAGAGCCATCCCCACGGAGAGGGGGAGACTCACGGGCCAACGTCGGGAACCAACAATCCCGCAAGGAACAAGCCGAGTCGAGGCCCATCTGTCAAGAAGCCAGAGGGACGTTCCTTGAGACACCGCGCTTCCACTGCAGGGGGCGCAGGTTCGATCCCTGGTCAGGCAACTGACATCCCAGATGCCTCCCAGTGCAGTCAAAAAGTATAGAATTTTTAAAATTAAAAGAAATTAAAATAAAGGAATGTAGGCCCTGAAGGTATGGGCCACCCTAGAGGCCAAGTTACTGTTAACAGCAAACTCCCAGCTCCCTCCTCCTGGAGCCTCCCAGAGCTCTGGCCTAATGCAGGCAAAGAACTTACTAGCAAACAAGGCAGGACCAGGGTGTGAAGGGGCGGCCCTCCCGCCTGCTAAGGTGTCCTGGTGGGACCTGCTCCAACGGCCCTCGGTCCACGGACACCTGCAGGGGGCGATGCTCCTCGGCGGGCAGGCAATATGCTTGCTGAGGCCACAGTTTAGCATTGCAAGGAAGAATCTCCACGGCAAAACGGCAGCACGCCCGTGACGATGACGAGGGGGTCCGCCCAACTGCTAGAGATGCCCATGGAGAAAGGGCTTGCTTTCCGTATGGGTCTCGAGGTGCCCGGGGTGGAGCCATTCTAGTAGCCCACCAAAAGGAACAGAAGTATGGAGCCTGCCCCGTCTCGAGCCTGTGAAACAAAGGGGCTGGGTAGACAAGATCTCCCTTCCCGTCCTAAGATTTTCTTTTTTACAAGGCCTGACATTTGGCTAAGCAACTCACCCCGCTGCGTTCAGGTCATCCTCCCCACTGCTGATACTGCCCCAAACATTTGCAGCAGGGCCTCAAGCCATTTTCAAACATCTCTGGACTTTTTCACTATGGAACTCGGGGATGATTCTTCACCCATCCAAATGGGAACCCCATGTGACAATGTCCATCCACAGCCCCTCTCGGCCACTGAAACTGCACCAGCACTCACATCACACCCACCAGCGGGCAAAGGACTCTGGCCACTCCAGAGGGTGGGAGTACTTTGCACCCAGTACAGACACGCGGCCACCAGGGGGCGCCGCCCTGAAAGTGTCCATAATAAAGGAGAGAAGAAACAGAAAAATTCTTTTCGGTGTTTTCCTTTCCTTCCTAAGCTTAAGCGACAAAATAGCTAAGGCTCCCCTGAAGAAAACACAAAGTGGGTTTCCTGAGGTTCTAGAATGACCCAGATATTTCCCTTCCCCTCTTTGAAGTCAATATTTTGGCCAGAAGAAGGCAACTAGACTTTGAACTCAACCACTCTTTCAGAGAAATGAACACTCCAGGCTGGAGCTTCCCTGGAACGGTTGACATCACAGCTTGCCCTGAACCCCCCAGTGTTTAAGGGTAGGAGGGTCTCTGGGGAGAGACAGGCAGTCTGCAAGTCCAGCCTGAGGACCCAGCCACAAGTCTCAGTCTCGGCTGGAACTGTGTTGCGAGAGCCTCCTAATTACCAAGCAAAACATACCAACCAGATGACAAGCCTCGTGCTTCAGCTGCAGGCACAGGATGACACAAATAGAGAAAGACCTCAGGAAAAAGGGTGCAAGGTATTAGTGGGGATTTCCCAAGTCTCAGATGACTGCAGGGGGAGCTCAGGCACCCAACACCAGAACCAGATTTCAAGAACACGTCAAAGCGGTTTCTGCACATGTCTTCAGTGTCTAGGGCACATCGTCCACATGTGTGTGTTCAAGCGCCCCTTTCTAAGGCTGCAAAAGTCCTCACACTTCCAGGGCTCTGGCTAGAAGTTCCTCCCCGTTTCCTTGTGAATTCCCCGGTCATTTGGCATGCCCTCCTGCAAATGAAAAGCGTGCTTTCTCCCAGGGAAGCCAGCAGGAGAGGCGGCAGCCAACTCCATCCCCAGACCGAGGGATGCGCAACCAGGAGCTGTTTTAGACAAGGTGCGCCCCTCTGGCTGTGGGGAGCAGGGCACCTGCAGGGCTGGAACAGGCCAAGAAGCAGCAGGCCCTGGGGACAGGCATGAGAGGGGCAGAGGTGCTGTGCCAGCCTCCACAGGCCAGCTCAGACCAGCCACTCGCTCCGCATGCCAGGAGATAAGGAAACTCAATTGTTCAATTCATCATTATGTTTGGTGACCCAACAGGGACAAAAATGCAAGGGGGGCCCATTTTTGAGAATCAAATCTACCAAGTGCAGACACAGCATAAAAGGTTTTCCACCTGGAGTTTGGAAAAGGCTTGGGGAGCCAGATTCTCTGAGGCTTTCACTGAGAACAGGATTTAACTAAGGGCTTCTCAGAGGCAAAAAGCCACCATAGGGGAACAAGGTGAGGCAAAGCCGACCCAAGACTGGATGCATCTGTAATGGACTAAGAACGTGACCCCATCTTATTAAAACACCTGGAGTCTCCCCCACTAAGGAACTGCATGGAGTGGGGGGTGGGGACCGCGAGGGAAGAAGGCCATTCTACACAAGCCTTTACATTCTGCACCAGCCACTCCCTGGCTGTGGGACCCCGGGCCAGGTACCCCACCTCTCTGCGGATGGATTTCCCCCCCTCTCAGACACGTGGCCCAGAATCACCAACCCAGCCGATTCTCAAGGCTGGTGCGAGGCTCTAATGAGACAGCAAATCACCTACACGCCAAGTATTGCTACTCGCTTCAAAGAGGCTTAATCCAGTGACATGCAATGACAGATTCTTGCAAAGAGAGCTGCGCCGGCGGGGCATCTAGTAGGTGCTCCGCAAACACACAAACATGGGTGCCCTCCTCCACGAAGAGAACGGGGACGAAGGAAGAGGACCACTCCAGTCCAAAAGTAACCTCCAGCCGCGGGCAGACAGCGTGGATTCCCCCCACTTCCCAGGTCGCTCTGCCACCTTCAGCAGCGCTCCCGTCACGCCCGGGGGAGCCAGGGGTCTCCCCACCCAGGGTCCCCGTGCACGTGAGAGCCTTGGTCCGTGCCACACCGTTCGTACTGCCCACCGCTTCCCTCGAACACCACAGCCACCTGGCTACTCGGACTCAGTGTCCCCGCGCACCGTTTCTTCCCGTTTCGCTCTAACCTCCGGAAACAGCCCCCCGCCCCCCGAGGCTGAACCGGGGGCTCAGGCCGGGGGTCCCCGGGGGGTGGGGGGGGGCCGGAGCCCCGTCCCTCCTTACCTGCACAGCTCGGCGAAGGCCTGGAAATTCAGCTTCTTGATTTTCTTCTCGCTCAGCCAGTAGCCAACTCTCTTCCCTTTCAGAAAGGTCTGCATCTTCCTCTTCGGGCGGGGAGCTCGGGTCCGGAGGAAATCGCCCACAGGCCGAGTCTGGCGGCCCGGCGCGCGCCGCGAGCGTGCGGGCACCTCCTCCCGGCGGCGGGGACGCGGAACGGGGCTCCGGGCGCGCAGTCCTGCCGGGAGGGGCGGGCCGGGGCGGGGCGGGCGCCCGGGCGGAGGGAGCGGCGCTCAGCGCGGCATTCCACTGGCTGCCACCGCGCGGGGGCCGCCCGCGCCGCCGCCGCCCACGCCCCCGCCGCCTGCGGGGCTCCGGGCGCGCAAGTTCGCGAGCGCCGGGCCGGGCCGGGGAGGAGAGGAGGCAGGCCCTCCCTCGCCGGCGCCGCCCTCCCGGCGCTCGGAACCGAGCCGCACGCCCTCCAGCGGCGGCCACCGACGATCGGTCCCCAAGCTTGGGCAGCGCGCCGCCCCCAAGTCCCTCCTCCCGGCCCTCCTTCTCGCTCTCGATTGCTGGGGGCCCTCCCCTACGAGCCCCCGGCGGCGCGTTCCGCTGATCCGAGCCGGGCGCGTGCCCCTCCCGACGGGCTCGGACCCCGGCAGGGCGCACGCGGCCGCCCGCGCCACCGCCCCCCCGCGCCCGCGCCCGCGCCCCCCGCCGTCCTCACCCGCAGCCGCCGCCACTTCCTCCTCGTCCCGGTCCTCGCCCCGGCGCGCGGCCCGCCGCCGTCGCCACCACCGCGCTGACCCGGCCAGCCGGCCCGCTGGACCCCGCCGGGGCGGAGGAAGCGCGAGAGCGCCGGCCGCCAGGGGGCAGCACTGCCCGCCGCCTCTTAAAGGCGCCGCGCCCTCCCCCCGGGTCTCGTTCTTTGGTGCCTGTTTGTGTGAAAGGCTCAGCGGCGGAGCTTGGGGGTCCGAAGGAGCAGGGCTGGATTTACGGCGATCCTTGCCAAGTGCTTTTACTTTTTAAAGGAACTAGAGGAGTCGCGGTGTGGGCACTTTCTGCCTGTCCTTTCGGAGTGATCGAGCCACTTGAATTTCATTCATCAAAAACATCTCTGTACCCTGAGCAGTATTCAGCCTCAACTGCAGCAGAGGGCGCGGGACGAGCGGGGGGTGGGGGGGGGGGAGTGTTGGGGGACGGGGGGTGGAGACAGGAGGGCCGGGGAGGTGGGGGGGGCGGGGGGCGCGGCAGATGCAGACACTCGATGAGATCATCTGTCTTCCCCGGAGGAGACAGACCCAGGCCCAGGATGGGGGCCCCTGGGGTTGGGGACATAAAAACCCAGGGGCCTTCTCAGGCTTAAGGAGGTTAACCACTAGACACACTCTGGGTTCCCTCCAACGGAGAGGCAAGGAGGGGAGAAACTAGAAGCTCAAGCATCAGAGTGGCTAGCACCCTTGGTTCCCCTGTAGGGCCCTAGGGCAGCATCCTGCCTTCAAAGAGTTTGGGCCAAGTGGGCATCACTCCCCAGGCCACGGCAGGAAAAATGGGTGGGGTGGAGTGGAAAGTGTCTCCGGTTTTCAGGGAAGACATTTAAGCTGACCTTGGAAAATAAGGATGAGGTTGACAGGCCTGAGAATTGGGGGTGGCTTGAATAGAGGCAGGGAGAAATGGAAGAACCAAGTGGTTAGGGGTGACCAGGCTGGAGCTTATTCTCTAAGGCCCAGCCCTAAGGGCCTGCCTTCTTCCCCTAATTACAGCTTCCCCATCCCTCTTCCTGCAGGCCTTCCCAGCTGCAACTAGGTGAAGCTTGTCCACACCAGATTCCAGGAGGAAGCACAGAGGACCTCTGTCTCCACTCTCAGCTAGCTCCACCCTTCACCCATCTCCCCTCCCCTTACACCCTGGCTGGGTGACCTTGCAGGCCACTTAGCCTCTCTGGGCCTCAGGTCCTCCCTCTTCCCTTAGGAGGTAAGCCCTGCCTCCTGAAAGCACCGCAGAAGAGCTCTGAGGCCTAGAATGTGTGGTGTTGTGGGAGGGTCTGGTGCAGAGTAGGGACAGAAGGACAAATGCCGCTCATTGTACTGGGAAGAACAGTCTTTGGCTTCAGAAAGACCTGCTCTGGGGGGGTTGGGGGGGGGGGGTGGTCCCAGTTCAGTTCCTCCCAGCTTGGACAAGTCATGTAAGTTTTGCCTCTGATCTCCGTGTTGAGAAAGTAACGTTTGCCTTAAAAGATTGTGGGGAGGATCAGGACAGGGTATTAGACTCGTCCTCCCATCAGGTCATCAGAAATGGAGCTTGTTACTGTCTCACCAAGAACTCTTTTGTTTTTTTTTAATTGAAGTATAATTGACTTTCAGTATTATATTAGCTTCAGGTGTACAACATAATGACTCAATGTATTATGAAATGATCACAATAACTCTAGTTACCATCTGTCACCACACAAAGTGATTACAATATTATCAGCTGTATTATTGACTATATTCCCTGTACTGTTCATTACAGCCCTGTTACTTATTTTATAGCTAGAAGTTTGTCCCTCTTAATCTCCCTCATCTATTTTGCCCGTTCCTGCCCCCTGCCCCCGCCCCACAACCACAAGTTTGTTCTATGAGTCTGTTTCTAGTTTTGTTCATTTGTTTTTTAAATTCAGCATATAAGTAAAATCATACGGTATTTGCCTTTCTCTGACTTATTTCACTTATATAATAACCGTTACGTTCGCCTGTGTTGTCACAAATGGTAGGATTCTTTGTGACTGAGTGATATTCGTGTATGTGGGTCTGTACCACACCTTGATCCATTCATCTGTGACTCTTCAGTTGCTTCCATACCAGGATTCTTTTTTTAATTTAATTTTTATTTTATATTAGAGTATAACTGATTTAAAGTGTTGTGTTAGTTTCAGGCGTACAGCAAAGTGATTCAGCTATAGTATTAATATATCTATTTTTTTTCAGATTCTTTCCCCATAGAGGTTGTTACAGAATATTGAGGAGAATTCTCTGTGTTATACGGTAGGTCCTTGTTGATTGTTTTATATATAGTAGTGTGTATATGTAAGGATTCTTAACTTGAGGTCTAATTAAGTCCCCTCCTTGCCCCACCCCAGGACTTCAGGAACCCCTGAAGCTGCCAGAAATCACATGCATCATGACCATAGTGTTCAACAAACCCACAAAGTCTGAGTCACTGATTACTCCAACTTCCTGTCTTATCAATGAAGTAATGGACCCAGAGAAGGAAAGGGATTTGCCCAAGGTCACAGAGCAGAAAAGTGGGAAAGCCTGAACCAGCATTCCAAGATCAAGAGTTCCCTCACCCCCGTAGCCCACCACTGTTTTGGAGATGAGAGGGATGTGAGAGGAGAGGAACGTGTTTTGAGGGCCAGGACCCCTGCCCAGGGAAAATCAAGTTCTTCCCGTGCATTGGTAAGACCAGGGACCCACCGACCCACTGACCCACCCACACGCCTCTGGAACCCTGGGCAGATCCTGGCCGCAAACCTCCTCTCCATGAGAATGGGAAATTATGCATTTATACCTCTGTTTTAAGATCTTGGTCATCTCCCAGGGAGCTCCAGGGTTGGAACCATCCTTCAACCAACCTTGCCCCACCTTGACCAAGGGAGTGGGCCTTTCTGCTGTCCCCGCCCCTGCTCAATCAACCAGACTTTGAGTATGGCTGGTCCAAGGGAGGAGCATGACCTCAGACCAAATATTCCTCAGATTCACTCCTCCTTTCTTTCTGTGCCACGGAGCCCGTCAACCCTTCCCCGCACCCCTTCCCACATGTCGGTCCCCTCAGTTCGGCCAGTCTGTTCTCTGCACTTCAGCCAGGAGAGACTTCAGATGGCAAGTCAGATTTGATCGGTCCAATCAGGCTCCTCACTGCGCTCCCCCACCCCACCCGGCTGACTTCCCACTGTTCTTAGGATAAAATCAAAACTCCCTGAGATGGTCAAGGCCTCCCACCCTCATCTCCCACCACCTCCCTCTCACCCTTGCCCTGCCACGCTGGCCTCTTGTGGTCCCTGCAGTCCCTAGAGCCTTTAGACACGCAGTCGTTTTTTTCTGCAGTGTTCCACCCTCACTCACCCAGCAGCTTTCAACCCAGGTGTCCCTTCCTGGCATCTCAGCCATCCAGCTGCCCCTGTGAGTGGAGTGCTTGAAGAATGTGAGCCCCCTGAGGGCAGGGACTGTGTTTTTCTCTGCTCGCCATTGTTCGCGTAACACAGCGATAGATAATGCTGGCTGGTGCTGGCTGGATTCTAAAGGAAGCCAAACTGCCTCCAACAGTGCCCTACGCAGATGCGCTCAATAAAAGTGACTAAATGAACATCAGGTAAGGCCCTCCAGATGGCCCCTGACCTCTCTGAGGTGGGAGACTCTGGAATGGAAGCCTAGAATCATCTGCATTCCCTTTGGGAGGCAGACCAGCCAATAAGAGAGATTAAATGGGCTTTCTTGTGTGTTCATGGCCAAGGGCCGTCAGAGAGAGGATTCCAGAGCTAGGAGGGGAACTGCAGGAGACTGCCTTAGGGAGAAGAGGTAGAAGCTGGCCGCCACCCTTCTTGTTATTCGGTTGTTCCATTATGTCCAACTCTTTGAGACTGCGTGGATGGCAGCACGCCAGGCTCCCCTGTCCCTCACTATCTCCCTGAGTTTGCTCCAACTCATGTCCATCGAGTCAGTGATGCCATCCAACCATCTCATCCTCTGTTGCCGCCTTCTCCTCCCGCCCTCAATCTTTCCCAGCATCAGGGGCTTTTCCAATGAGTCGGCTCTTCACATCAGGTGGCCAAAGTATTGGAGTTTCAGCTTCAGTCCTTCCAATGAATATTCAGGGTCGATTTCCTTTAGAATTGACTGGTCGAACTCCTTGCTGTCCAAGGGACTCTCAAGAGTCTTCTTCAGCACCACAGTTCAAAGGCATCAATTCTGCAGTACCCAGCCTTCTTGATGGTCCATCTCTCACAACCATACATGACTCCTAGAAAAAACATAACTTTGACTATACAGACCTTTGTTGGCAAAGTGACATCTTTGCTATTGAATTTGCTGTAGGACTGCCCTCCTAACCCCAATCCTTTTCC